TTATGGTCCGATTTTTGCATTCGACACGCATGCCATTGTTTTGTGCCTTGTATCTTGTATACTTGTATTTTGTGGAGGCACTTTGTGATACAAATGTGTTTGTTACATATTATGATCTTTCTTATTGATACATCGACGCATATTCTCACTTAATTTCTTTGTTGATGCTAGCTTGCTCGAAGTTTTTCGAGTTTCTTATTTTTGCTTGCTTAATACGAATTGTTATCCGTTTGGTATTTCATCTCTTCCTTTTTATTATTTCCGCACTTTACTGATTTCCTTGCCATGAGAAGTAGGACTAGAGATGTATGACGAGGATTTTCGTTGCTGATCATGTCAGGAACCCCTCTAGTTTATTTAAAGACGCGCTTAGGGAAATTTCGTATTATGTGCCATTGTGTGCTACTCGTGCTTGTTTAAAATCCTACCTTTAAAATAGGTATTTCGCACGTTTGTTTACATTTTTCCTTGCATTATATTATGAATAATAAGTCCTCAAAAGTAGGAAAGCGGGGAGGGTCCGCAATCAACCCCCGCACATTCTAGTCCGTGTCATCCTTAGCTCACGTTGTACGTCGATGCTTCGGAGTTGTGCAGATCATGGTTATCGAGTCGTCAAGTGGAAAAGGGATATGTAATCGATCCCCCACATTTAGTCTTGAGCTCGCGTTGGTCGATGTTTATGCTCCATGCTATTTTCTTCTATCCTCTCCCCGCTTGTTTGCCTCGGTTGATATGACCCCTTGTCTAAAGCATCCCTACCTTATTTTACACATACCTTGATCATCTATATAATGGTTAGGCATTTGACTTGATTTAGCATGTTCTGCTCATGACATATTGTTTGTGCTATCTTGAGCTTGTTGGCTTGCTTGCTTGATTTCGTCTTTGTGTGCATGTTTTGAGATGATATACCCTCGGCATGTTCTCTTAGAAGCTCTTGTTTCAACTATAGATGATGATTCAAGATAGACATATTTTTAGGTGATAGACCCTTTCTATGATCCTTTAGGACTTCTTGATTCATCTATAGATGATGATTTGAGATAGACATTAGGATTGTTATCCATGCATGTCAACATAGGTTAGAGTTACCCTTCAAAACTAAACTTTAGGTTCAATCATTTGTGTGATAACATTAGGGATATATTTAGATTAGTATCCCTTAGATGTTTTCTTTTCTTTTGCATCCTTTGCATAATAAAACAAAAACCTTTCTTTTCTTTTTCTTTGCAAATCATAAAGCACTTAAAACTTTCAAATCCTTCTCAAGGTAAAAAAGACAAACCAACACCTTTCTTTTTGCCAATCGGCATTTCTTTTCTAATAACATGTTAGTTCACTTCCGCTACAGGTCGTAAGTATCCAAAGGTCGAGCCACAGTGGATTGATTCGAACCTAACATTGTTCAATTAAAAAACACAAAACAAACTGAAATATGTGAGCCGAACTACAACTGCTCTGATTCCTTAAAAGAGATACATAGGCATTGGGGTAGGACCTGAACAAGCACAACTTTTATTTTCCCTACATTCTTTTCTCATTTCTTTTACATGCATTCCCTGTACAACTTAGATATAGATTCTTACACACCCATGAGATAGACAACAAGAATGGATACCGTAGAGTACTACAGGCGTGTGGGGTGATAATACCTTCCCCTCGCATAACATACTCCCTTACCTGATCTCTCGGTTGTTTGATCGTGATTTCACCCTTCTCAGGTTTACTCGAGGTTTACCTTTCCCTTCATGTGGGATAAAAAATGTTCGATGGCGACTTCATTGATTTCATTATCAGTTGATTGTTCAACCTATTGTTTCAAATCACTTATTTCAAAAATTTCTTAATTCAATAAAATTCACCGATAGAAGTAAAGAGGAGGCTTAGGTATAGAGTTCGCAATGAACGAATCAACAGTCAGAGAAGAATTGCTCTTGATCTTGACTTTTAGATCTTGATGCAATTGTTGTTGTGTTCTTGATAAAAAAAGTTGTAGAACTTTATTTTGATCCTTGAGAAAATTAGGAGAAAAGATTTAGAGTGTTTGTAATATTTTTATCAATTATGAGAGCCTCCCCTTGAAAATTGGAGTCAAAAGGAATATATAGTATGGATTTAATCAATGGACATCAAATAACCACAAACCAAAAATGCAGATTTTTGAATCACTTAAGTGCGACACGTCCCGGAAAAATTCGCGGGAACCTAGGTGCATTTTCTAAAGTTGAAACGTGAATAGGAAATTTAACTCATGTTGAGAATGACCTCATCTCTAAAGATGGGCTCAATCAGATAAACGATGAGAAAGTTATGAATTTCCAAAGTTTCGTCTCATATAAAAATAATTCTCGATTCAGGATCTTCGGGTTTGGACCAAAAATGAGAATCTTCGGGTTACCGTTTGCTTTTAGCATCTGAAGATAAGTTTAAGTAGACGATATTTTTGAATCAAAGCTACTGAAACCAGCTCAATACGATGAAAATCGATCAAGTTATGATTTTATGATTATGGTGCAAATAAACACTTGCCACAATTTCAGCATGCGAACACACTTGATAAATCCACAATTTTGGAGACCTTCTGAGCAGAATTAGCTTACAGTCGTGAGAGATGAAATGTAGATGACACTGAAACAAATTTTTGGCCACCTGAACAAGTTAAAATGAGCCACGAGCTTTGAGTTATGAATTTTTTAGTGTTCAAAAATGTGCTTTCATCACACTTTTCCACTTCCTTTCTTTGAAACAACTCGCATATTCGGAGTTCTTCTTCAAAGAATTGACACTCGAGCCACACATGAATTCGAGAATACCTCCACTAGGATATCTTGGCAAAAGAACACCTGAATATGATGAACCAAATTGGTCCCATGAATTTCCGAATACCCAAACCGTTGCGAAACAACAAACCTATTATTAGCATAAACAATATCCTGAGAACGTCTATTGACGAAATAAATGTCTCTTGAAATTTGTCGAGGCTCATATGAAATACCCTGATCCCATATCCAAAGAACTAATAATATGTATGCATATGATGATGCAAGTAAATCCAAATTAAAGTCGAAATGAGGAGGGTAAATTTTGGGGTACAACAACTGCCCCTATTGAAACTTCTTCAACCTAAATCGAGATTGGAAGCGATGGCCTTTTGAGAGATAAGGTGTGTTGTACCCCAAAATTTTCCCTCCCATTTTTCATTCAAGATGTTATCCTAGGGTTTCTCAAATACTCAAAATGGCTCAAGAATTGATCAGGCAAATTCTTCTCCTAAGCATTGAGTCCACGACTAGGGTTGGGTATTTATCAATCAAGATTGAGTTTCAAAGGTTTCAAGTGGTCTTTATAGTTATTCATTTATTATCAAGGATGCTCACGTCAAGTTTCATGCCTTGCATCGCAAGTTTGCTCAGCCAATGGTTCAGATGACCAAAAATCAGCTGCATTGACCCAAAAGTTGACCTTTTCAAGATCAAGTTCAAACAATTGTAACTTATTCATTACTAATTATTTTTTTAGTGGTTCTGTTTGCATATGAATCTCCTTGAAGTCATATCTAACTTCTCTTTACAAGTCAAGAGCCGATTATATGCGAAAGATCATCAAAAATTCAAATACTTTAGAGGACTATGATTCTCATGTTAAGATCGTTCATGGTACAAGATGTCGAGTTCGAGAACTATTTGAATGCCCGTTGCTTCTTCAAGATACTCATGTCTGAGAATTTGGTGATTATTAGATGAAAATGGATTTCAGACCAAATTTCTTAAGGCATTATTGTTCTATCAAGTACTATTGGCTTGTATGGCAAGATACCATGAATTGAAGATTTGAATTAGAGTCTCGTTGGAAATGATTTGGAGATTCACTCGAGAAATGTCATTAGGTTAAAATTGATTCAAGGTTTCAAATACATCCATCAGCTATCTCAAGATTCATTCAAAGAAATTATATCACAATGTTATTCAAGGTCCCTTTGAGAAAGAAGAATCATTGTATTTCCAAATCACCTCATCACAACCCTCAAAATCATATACATACTTCACTTCATTACAAAGCTAATCACTTTACATTTCCTTATATTTGTTTTCTTATCACAATCCATACAAGTTACACATAAACTTCAAAAAAATCATGACAAATAAGGTTATACTAAAGGGCCAAAATTTATCCATTTACATTTCAAGGAACACTACAATCTATCATGCCATTACAATTCATTGTACAAAAGAAAAGAACATTACAAACATTTCTAAAACTAAAATTTCCTAAGTTATAAAGTTGCTAAAATGAGTGAAATTCCAAGTAAATGCTATGTTTCACTGCTTCACTTTATTTTTTACAAAAATCATATTTCATCTTCACAAAGCCCTGCTAAGCAAACCCAAAATGTGGCATAGCATTGTTTCAAAATTCTTCCAAAAAACCCGCTGCCATACACAAAAACTTGAATCAATCATCAAAAAAGAAACACAATTTCCAAAACAACAAGACAATCCAAAAACCGGCATAAAAAGCCAGGCAGATTTGTCCAAAATTCTGCATATATACCTGCTGCCCTGCATCATTACAGGTCAAAGATTGCACTAAAATGCACACTAAAAAAATTGTGCAGTAAAGGATCAAAGAAGTATACCGAAATAGTTCAAAAAAACTCATCGATTTCCCCTAAAAACCTCAATTATTCCACTATAAAATTGATACAACAATACAGATAAGGATATAGACACAAAGGAGAATTCAGAAAACAATTTTCTATCAAAAAACCTACAATACTTTTGTACTCTCTTGAAACAAACCTATTGCAATACCAAAAAAACTCTACCTCCCTACAAAACTCAGCCCTACAAACACTTCCAATACTACACAACCTTCATTCAATATATTTCACTCCCTCGAAGAATCACCACAAAACCTCATCTTTCTCTCCCTATAACCTTCATTCTATCTAATAACAAACCTTCTGCAAACAGCACAACAATCAATCCTGCAAATTTATGCCTCCTACACCAAAACCTTCAACCTTCAACCCCTTATCAAACTTCAAACCCATCTACTTCTACTCACCACCTTCATTCGCTAATCATCCTTACAATATTCCTCTTCCTCAACCGTTCATCACCATCCACAAGTCAACTAACCTTCCCTCAACCCTCACAAACCTGCCCATTAGTCTAAAAAACACAACGATAAAAATCTATAGCCTCATCTTACGACTAATTTTGAGATCTACACAAAACACACAACTCACTCGGTTCACACCCACAAGTATACGCCCACACCTCGCCATACAATAATCACTACACGATTTTGTAACGACATACATCTAGAAGAAAAAGATCAGAAGAAGAGTAAGTGGCATACCTAGAACATTCACGAGGTAACCTTTATCCATTTCGTATTTCTCCTCTTTCTGCGATTATCGATTGCTTCTCATGTACCTCTGTGAATTCATAAGCGACCAATTCAGGATTTGTAAGGGCTTTGGGTTGTTGGGCTCACTGATTTTTCACGTTTGATTTCGAGTAATATCATATTATCGCTCAAGAATGATTTTGAGAGAGTTTGGGAATGGTGATGGAACAACGATTGTATGAAATTGCTGGACACAGAGGAATGCAGTTTGATTTTAGGGTTACAACAAAATCTATTTCAAAACCGGGTTTGGGCCTGTTTTAATTTGGCCCAACCCAATTTTCACGTTTTGATTTACATATCAATAGAAGTAAATAAGTAAATGAATGACCGAATGGCGCAGCGGTTGAAGCATCATTTGGCAGGTACAGAGACCCAGGTTCGAAACTCCCGGGGACCTTTTTTTCTTTTTATTGTTTTTGGACACAAAAAAGAACAAACACAAAAATCGTCTTGGGCCTCAAGATGCTGGCCCAACGCCCCAATTGTTTTCCATACCCCTCATATTAACTAATTTTAGTTAGTAATTTTAAAATTTAAGAATTTCATTTGGTTTAGAATTAATTTGATATAGATTTAATTTAATAATTTTTTTAAAATTTTAGTTTAGATTTAATTTTACAAACTTTTAATTTTAATTTAGTCTAGTTTTAATTTAATAATCTTATAATTTTTAGTTTAGGTTTTACATTCAAGTTTTTTTCTTAAATGATTGCTTATTCTTAGTTTTTTTTTAAAAATGTTTAAAGAATTTTTGTGAATAATTTAGGTAGTTAATATTTTCTTTTTTCTTTCGTTTAGTTAACATTCTTTAAAATTGTTTAATTTCTTCATGATTAACAAAATTTCAAAGAAAATAATAGAATAGCATTTTATTTTTCTGTTTAAATTTTAATCACAAACAAAACACCAAAAACATTATTTTGATATTATTAATTATTTCACTAATTAATTTTATTTAATATTTTGTTTTAGTTTAAATTAATTGTTTATCTTTAATTCGATTGGGTTGTATTGTTTGTTTATTTAGATTTTTAATTGCATTATCCATCCCCATTTGTAAATTTCTATCCCCTATTCCCGAACTCTCTATAATAGCATAGAATTTTAATTTCTACAATTTACTATTTTTCTTTATACTAAGTAGTAATTAGGCATGTATGATAAGATATAAAATCAAATGATAGATAACAATAAACTTCAAGAGAAAATAACTGAAAACAAATCACTTTTCACACGCGCACCTCTAGGGTTAACCTCACTTGTTGTCTCGGAAAAACAGTCATGTCCCTCGAATGTGCGACGTTTAGTAAAGGCCCTCAATAGAAAAATATTGTAGTACCTCGTTACCCTTCGACGTTGCCTTCGGTAAAAGGATCTTAGTCCTTTACGAAAATTGCTAAAGACTCTTACAAGTTGCCTTCTATGACTGTATAATTGACCCGCGCCTATCCCTTCACATCCAATGATAGAGCTTCTTACCAATTAATGGTAAGATAGCACTATATAAAGAAGGAGGAGAAGAACGAAGACTTCTTTTGAGTAGGTAGAACATTCATAGTTGCTTGCTCGAAAACATTTTCAAATAACATCTTTCAAGCACACCAACAATTTTTCAAATGAAATATTTTCAAAAGTCAACACTTTGTATACATTCTTATAGAGACGAGAATCATTAAAAAGTTCTCCTAAACAAAGACACTTTTCAAAAATACTTTCAAAAATAAATCACAAGCACATTTGCAAAGCGTTTCAAAGTGAACTAACAACTAAGAGCCCGTAGATAACTACGAATGAAAAGTGTGCTAACACCTTCCCTTTTCATAACCTACCCCCGAACTCAACAAAAATTATCAAAAGGTCTTTCATGTTCTTTTCAACCTTTCCTTTATTGGATAAAAGAAAGTTCGGTGGCGACTCTTGCTATCCGCATCAATTGTGATAAAACGCAAACACCCAAGTCAATTCTCTCACCGTATTATAGAACTGGAGACTCTGCTGGGGAGAGCTTAAAAATGGGGTTACCTTATATACTAGATCATATTTAAATGCTTTCATTGTTTGACTTGTTTGCTTTTATGGGTCCTTGTTTGGGTTTGTATTGATCCTCTACCCGGATCTGGGAACATCATTAGGTAAATAGCAAAAATTATGGAGATTGTACAATGTAGACCGATATGGTTGAGACAATATCTATGTTAGTGTGACACATTTGTGGGTAGATTCATTTCTTCCAGTTAATAATAGGCAATCAACAGACCTCATCTGACTAGATTTACTTCCTCTGGTTAATAATAGGCAACCAATATGCCTCTTATGGTTAGAATTGGTTCCCCAGTGAAGTTACCAAACACAAGACCTCTTCTGGTTAGATTTATTTCTTCCAGTTAAAGATAAGTGAACAAAGACCTCTTCTGGTTTAGATTTACTTCTTCCAGTTAAAGAAAGGCGAATGACATCTACTGTTTCGGTATAAATCGGCCAAAGATTTATTCTGATACCTCTCACAGTAAGCCTTTTCTGGCTCAGATTAAATCGACCAAAGATTTATTCTGATAATTATCTCAGTAGAACTTTTTTGGCTCAGATTAAATCGATCAAATATTTATTCTGATACTTCTCCTAGTCGAAGTCAAGCATTAGACTTAGTCTAAGTTCTCTGCCAACAGTCATATCTGGATGGCATCTATAAGCCAATCTCTGTCGATTCTCAACTATTTCTAGGCACTCTAATGTTCAATCATCTTCCACCTTCGAGTTACGAATGGCGAACATGCCAATCTAACTCTTCAGGTTTAAGAAGATTGAACAGGGGCAGTTGTTGTACCCCAAAATTTTCCCTCCCATTTTTCATCTAAGATGTTATCCTAGGGTTTCTCAAATACTCAAAATGGCCAAGAATGGATAAGTCGAATTCTTCTCCTAAGAATTGATTCCATAACTAGGGTTGGGTATTTCTTAAGCAAGATTGAGTTTCCAAGGTTTCAAGTGGTCTTCATGGTTCTTCATGTATTCTCAAGGATGCTCACGTCAAGTTTCAAACCTTGTATCGCATGTTTGCTCAACCAATGGTTTAGATGACCAAAAATTAGCTGCATTGACCCAAAAGTCTACCTTTTTAAGATCAAGTTCAAACGATTGTAACTTCTTCATTATACAGTATTTTTGAGTGGTTCTTTTTGTGTATGACTCTTCTTGATGTCATCTCCAACTTCTCTTTGTTAGAACATAGTTTGATTCTACAACCCTTGGTTAAAGTTTTGATGATAACAAAATACATAGAATAATATCATTTCTAAAGTATATACAAAGAACAATTATGCTCCTTAAAATTATGCTTTGTATATACAGAAGTTCTGATGGAATCAACATCAGAAGGGAATCAGCATCAGAAGATCAGGAACCTATGTTACACGCTGAAACACTGAAGTTTGATGACCAGAATCTGTGCCTTAACAAATACAATCTGACTCTGATCAAAGATATCTTTACCAAGTCATCAACACTCTGAAGCATTATCAACAGATACAACAAAGAAGATTCTGAAGCGTTACTGGTTATTCAAGACTGAATTAAATGCTAACGGCTTTCTTCAGACAAAGATCTTCTACAAAAGGAAAGTGCATTATTATCATTAAACCTGCTTTATGGACAACGTATCTTTGCTTGCCTATATAAACAGGATTGCTTGTGAAAAGAAGCACGTATGTACGCACTCCATTTTGCTAAGCTATCAAAACCACGCATATTCAAAGCTTAAGCAAAGTCATCTCATTCGAAGCTTATTTTTAGTGTAATTATCACAGCTGTGATATATAGTTTTGTAAGAAAACAAAAATACACTTGTTCAATTCATTTGTAAAATAAGTTCCTTGGGATTAACCAGATTGTGGTTGTATTCAAGAAGACTTTAACAATTGTTAAAGTAGTTGTTGTAATTCTTTGAGAATAGTGAATTAAGACCTCGCTGGAGAGAGGAGAAATCACCTTGATGGGTGGACTGGAGTAGTTTGAGATCAAACGAACCAGGATAAAAATACTGTGTTGTCAAGCCATTTGTTTTAAGTTTTACAATTCAACCCCCCCTTTTTTTGTTTTTCACATCTTCAATTGGCATCAGAGCGTCTGGTTATGATCTTTAACACTTAACCGTGTCAGTACAAGATCCAGCGTCAGAAAAACACAATGGCAGGACCAAGTCAAAACATCATCAATGACAACAATAAAGAAAGGGAAAGATTCAGTGGCAAACCTCCAGTCTTTGATGGAGAAAACTTTGACTACTGGAAAGACAGAATTAAGAGTTTCTTTCTGGCCCATGATGCTGATCTGTGGGACATGGTGACTGATGGATACACGCACCCAGTGGATGGACGTGGTCAGAAGATTGGCAGGAAAATGATGTCTGATCAGCAAAAGCGTGAGTTCAGAAATCATCACAAGGCCAGAACAATTCTTCTCAGTGCTATCTCATATTCAGAGTATGAGAAAATATCAAACAGAGAAACTGCTAAGAATATGTTTTATTCTCTGAGAATGGCGCATGAAGGCAACATTCAAGTCAAAGAAACAAAAGCCCTTGCACTCATTCAGAAGTATGAGGCATTCAAGATGGAAGACAGTGAATCAATAGAAGCTATGTTTTCAAGATTTAAAATTCTTGTTGCTGGTCTAAAAGTTCTTGACAAAGAATATTCCACTGCTGATCATGTTAAGAAGATCATCAGAAGCTTTCCAAAACAATGGAGGCCAATGGTCACAGCCCTTAAGCTAGCCAAGGATCTCAACAAAATCTCTCTGGAGGAACTTATCAGCTCCCTCAGAAGTCACGAGATAGAGCTAGAAGCAGATGAACCTCAAAAGCAAGGTAAGCCATTAGCAT